TGAAAATATCTTACATTTTCTAAATTATCTACAAATTTCATTGCTATCGTGGATTATTGAATGTTGAAAATCATATTTAAGAACCGAGCCTCAAGGTAGTTAGTCAGCTCGAACGGGCTTACGAATTTTGCACCCCCAGATTTAACAAGTACACTCTGCTTAATTTTAAATGGTTAAGTTCTAATTTTGTCAAAATTCTCCTACGCTGTTTACCTTTCGTTTATTTGATTTCCAAATTGTTTTGAAAGGTAATGGCACAGTTATTGGTTGTTAAAAATCTAGTAAAAAACCGATTTGAATTTAAATAAATGAACATGAAATAACCTGTTATATCTAATCATGTTCCCGTGAGGAACAAAGTTATGTAGTTTATTTTTATTAATATCGTCAGAATCAACACTTATGGCACCTGATATATATTATTTTACTCGCCTAGTTTCTTCCCAAACGCTATTAACTCGCATAGCATGCAATTTGCACGCTTACAAAGACTTGTCAAAACTCAGTTTCTCGCCGTTCATGCTTCAGGGAAATAATTGGGAACTTCACTGAAATCTTAACAAGAACGTTCGACTACGAAATACTCTGCGCTTAGATTTTAATTTGTTTCGTTTTATTTTAAGATATAGTATAATTAAATTTGTACAAAATGCTAATCAAAATAATCAAAAGCGCATGGACCAAAGTGCTCAAGACGATGCATATTCTGAAAATGTCTGACATAAAAGCAAACTGTTATATTTTAGCCCGGTAGACGCAGTAGTCAGTCGGGCAAATACAATCACATGAGCGCGCTTATGGCTGAGCCGAGCTCACAATAAGACGTTGGTACTCCGCCTACACACTCACCAACAACAACAGCCCGAGCACGACATGATGCTACCATAGCCGGTCGAAACCATGCCAGGCCCAGATACCACAACTCATATTATGATAACGATGTGGGTTGGTCAGATGCAATTGCAGTTGGGGCACCTATCCAACCCAACGGTTGCCGTTCGCGTGCAATATATTGTGTTAATGTTTTCTGCTGCGGCTGATGATTTGCTGCTATTATTTTTAAGCCCCTCAACACGAAGTTTTAGCCTGGTTAATTTTGCTTCAACATTAAGTAAGGTTATCATTTAAGAAAAGGCGAACTCCTGCATCAATTAAAAGTACAAATTGATTATTAAATGTTGTAATATTAAATGTACATAGTCTAAACATCTATAAAAAGGTTTGTTTGGTAACTATTGTCTTTGCCTTTTGCATTCATACACATTACCAACGCCCAGATTCCGATGTACCTTTAAGTAAAGTTCATGTCGTTGCCCGTTGAGTTCCAGGTAGCTCAGGTAGCTCAACAACTAACAGCCAGTATGCGTTAATGCAGCAACGAAATGAAACTAATACACAGGTATGAACTAAATCAGCCTACACAATTAAGCGCGTTTCTGGTATGGGGTCTGACACCTTTTGGCCTCGTTAAGAGACGTGACTCGATTTTACAGTGATTCATTCAATCATTTAGTCCGTCAATCCCAACTAACTAATAGATTGCAATATTTTTGATGTTTTATTTATTTATTAATGGCCGACAAAACGGGTGTCAACCTACTTATTTAATACATAGGAATAAAAATTAAAAGCTAAAAGCCTTATCAGATTGCAAATATTTTAAATAGCATTATCGACCCAATGAAGCTATTTTATTGCTCGGCCGGCCAACTATGCCCCTTTTCACGGCTAATTTTGCCTACAGCTAAGATACACCAGATACGTGAGCAGTATTCAAGGATTTGTCGTACAAGGGAAATAGATCAAAATTTGGTTAAGAACGATGAGGTCCTTAACTCTTTGTATACGTTGCAAAGGAGTATGGTCGACTGGCAAAATAAGGTCGATCACGATTGAAGATCATAAACATACACTATAAAAAATGTAGATGCAATTGATTGGCCGAACACCAAAGTTGTATAGCGCTCAAATCATCTTGTAGAATGATGTATGGGGGATCAGTGTATGAAAGAATACATTACACATCGTCCGTATCTTTAAGAGGGGAAATCGTTCATAAAAAAGAGTTGAGAGGAGAGCAGCAAGATAACTTTTACACCAGAAGTACCGTGAACCTGTTTTGAGGTAGTCAAGCATAACTCTCAGGGTCCTACCCTTTCAATAAGAAGAAATCAAAGCAAAAGATTGGGAAGAAACCCAAAATTATCGAGTTTAAAGAGTAAGAAGGTCATGGTGCACAGGATAAACTGAGTTTTTATGCAGTTTGCATTCTGACTTTGTTTAAGCATATGTTTGTCATATACCATTTCGATTTGCACAACAATTTGTATTGATTATCAATTCACATGGGTATACAATTCAGAAGGGTTATGCAAAGAATATTTCACAAAATCAAACGCACATTGTTTTATTTTCTTTGTGGGAGAGCTTAGCTTACTAACGACTGGGACAGGCTGAAAAAAACTATCAGAAAATTATTATGTGGCGGAACTGATCAGAACATGGGCGAACATCATATTTAATGTTAATAAATATATGTAGATTCTTAGCCATTAATTAAAAACCTATTCGATTCTTAAACAAAAAAAACACAGTGAAATAAACTACTAATGGACCATAAACGACAGAATATTCAAACTAGGCTCGATATGCTATATTTGGCTTATTCGTGAAGATTTAAGTCGGAAATCCTGAAGTCGGAAATCCTGATTGAATGAATGTTGTATGAACGTTTTTTGTTTACATTTCGATGGTCTTAAAAATCATTTTTAAAAATCTTTGCGACGTGCTTCACACTATTCGCAAAAATCAACCCTCTGTGCAATGTTGTAATATTCGTCTGATTCGTCACAACATAGAAAGTAAATCAGTACGTCTTTCGGCGAGATTGGAAATTCCACTCGCAATTGTGGAAACTGAATGAATAATGAATATCTACAATATTTAGCATAAAAGCTACCATGTGCAAGGCCTGGTAATACACGCTAGTATGATATATGTATGAAATCAAATCATCAGAGACGCAGACTGGTCTGAAAAGGTTTGTCTCTTAAAGATGAGTTTGTTGATACGTAAACGCCGTTGTCGACGCAGCAGGGCGGCTCTCAGGCATTTAAGGAAGTTGCTCTAAAGACAACGGCAAGCACAACGAGCAGCATAAAGGGCCAAACTCAGTACGGGTATGAACATCTGAACGGAGCATTCGTGGCCGAGAATACATGAGTTTGTGTATATGTAAATAACTTGTTAGCAGTGAAGACGTGGGTGAAGCAAAACCTTTAAAATGCTTGCTCTTTTTCTTTTCTCCCGATTGTTGCGTCTAATATGTTGGTTGTTGAACACCAAAGACTTTAAAAAGAGGACCTCAACATAGAAGCCCGCCTAGAAAATTACAAATTATACATATTGTAAATATACATATGTTAAATATACATTTAAGAAAATAACAGAAAACAATTGCTGATATAATATGAACAAGCATTCATATCGCCTGGATGCCAGTTTATGTTAATCCGATAATAATATCGACCAGACATATTTTGTGGCCTGAAATAGTGCCGATGATTGTACTGGGATTTATAAAACTATATAAACGCACATATTCTGTCTAGGTTCTACTTCATCTTTTATTGCCTTGCTAACTTGAACTCAAATCAATCATTAATTGTCGATTATCTAATTTCACATGCAATGAAACTACTTAAACATACGTTTGTATGTGTTAAATTGTTTAAACATTTTGAGAACTTACCATTTTTATATTGCAAGCTGTTTGAGATGCAACAGCAAATGAAAAAAATGATCACATAACTAAAGCGATGATAGTTTCTGCTACAATTATTTACGCATTTTGTTGTTTTTATTTGGAAACGTTGTTTAAACTTAATATTACTATGTTCACTTTTGTTTGGCCTACGAGTCATTTTACACGCACTGGGCCAAGAGCTCGAAATACATTGGAAACAAAATATAAAAGTGCAGCAATACAGAGATCGATTAGTTCGCTAAGCACAAATATTTTGCTTTTTACTGTAAAGGAGGAATCACAAAAAAACTGTAATTGTTATGTTTGTTGTTGTCTCGTTTCCGTTGTTACATTTGTACGTATCGCCTTAATGTTAAGGGTGTGATTTTTGGTCTGGGACTAACTGAGACATTAAAGCATTGGCGCAACAAGCCGGTAAATATCGCAGTCGTTGCCGAGCTACATTACCTCAAACACAGAATGAAATGCACCAAACGATGCCTGTTATTCAGTGTAAAATGCGCACTACGCGTGTTTAATTCAGACCATAATATTGTTGCGTCCGTCCATACATTAGATATGGGTAATAATTACACTTGGTTTGAACTTGTTTTTTACTCTTGGAGCGACACACACGACATGAAAGGCGATAGACATGTTTTACACAAGCACTGCGAGGGCAGTTAAATTCAATTATATAAAACTTATGCACTGTTGTGAACTAAAGTTACCGCAAGAGGGTAGCCATTTTTTTGCTATTTGTAAAACTTTAATTTGTTACACCTTGTGATGCTTCTATTTCACGCTCGATACTACTCGATACTACATGTAAGCAACCAAATGACTATTCAGCAATTCAGCAACCTTAACAACAGAATGAACTTTAACATTGCTTGGACTGTAATATGTCGAGCAGATGACTACTAGCAGATGTCTACCGTGTTGTTTGAATTTTCTGCGCAATTGGCGGTTTGTTGAACTTAAATATAATTGATAGTCTTTATCGAAAACTCTTAAAATAATTAAACTGAAAGAAAAACCTTTTAATGCCGTTCACTAGGTTTTTAAATAAATAAGCACTGTTAAGAGTAAAATGCTGAATTATTTTATTATGCTGTTAAACTCACAATGGTACTGCTAAATTTTCCTAAAATGTTATACTTTTCTCCAGTGCAGCAAGTTGTGTAATTTTACGCCACACAAGATTTAACATACAAATTACCACTATTGATATTAAATAAAAAAAATTAACGCATAATTTTCATAGTTTTATTTACAAACATAATACTACTAATCTTGTCAAGGTCAATGTTAGGCATGATTGTCCATAAACTGTATCTCTGACCACAAAAGCAATGCATTTGGAGGCAACGGCCGTGGCTGCGGCGATAACAGCATTACAGATTGTCGATCCATGTCCACCTCGGTGCTTTATAATAAATATTGATTCATTATATATATTCTTGCGAAAATCACTTGGTTACACTTACACACAACAGAAGCCTGCAACATTAGTGCCAATAACATCATCGTCCGTGGACTCCGCAAAACTGAGCGTAAGAATGTGATGTAGCAGCGATGGAGTGGGTGTAACCGGTACAACTTTCTTTTTGTTGTCTTCCGCTTTCATACCAATAGGCATACATGAATCGGGTAATGGTGGTGCGCCAATTTTGTATAGCCGTAGGTCCTGAAATTTTACCTCGAACGAAAAGGGATAGAAAGGTGTACGTGTATTACCATAAAAATATTCCTTGACACGCTGCTCGCGGGATTCGTGGCGCAATTCTTTACTGCGTTCCACTACCCCGCCACTTTTTGGCAAGAGGACAACATGCACGTTGGAAGGCACATCGCGCAGTAAATCATTATACAAACGCTCCTGATCCAATACGAATACGGCGCGAGCGCGATAAGCTCGTGCTGCATGCAACAAATGTGCATAGCCAGAGCCCTTCACCCATCCACATGTGTTGACGATGATCCCAGAGCTTTTGGCTACACAAGAAAATGGTCATATATTTCAAGTTTCTTGAGTAAATGCGGTTAGACATACTTCGTTTATTGGCATCCAGACTCTGCAGTGTTACTTCAGCCATTTTCGAGACGACAGCATTGTAAAGCACGTTATTAGCACCTGGGGACTTGTGACCAAAATGATAAACTAGTGGAGCTGTCTTTGTAAATCCTTCCTCAACGCTAGCTGGTCGTTCAATAAGGATAGTGGCTACATTGCCGGAAATGGAAATGGCACCTTGGCCCACATCAAGATCTGCGTAAAGTGGACGCCTGCCTACGCGTACTGCATAGTTTAATAGAATGCGGCACAGTGTGCTCTTTCCAACGTCCATGGGCCCTACGATCAGTACAACAGGGCCGCGCTTGTCCCGTTCTTCGGCTTCCATACGAAACTGCTCCAATGCTGCATGGCAGTTTATATATTGTACCATTGGTGTCTCTTTTGAGATATAGCACACATCCATTTTGCCTGACACGTGCAGCACGCAGCCTTGGTAGGTAAATATAGCCACTTTAGCGCCAACACCGAACTCATATTTCTTTTTTTTCACCAATTCGGTGCCAAAAAGCTCTGCAAAACCTGTGACGAGCTGAAATACGATTTAGAAATGTTTACCACGCCGAGTACAAAAATATTATAACATACCGTAACAAGAACCTTGGCATCTTTTTGCTCGATTTCGAAACGTAGCTCGGAGTCTGCTTCCAAGACATATTCCCTGCTATGAGAATTATCTTCGGACATATCTGCTTTTAAGTCAAAGTATCAAAAAGTAAACAGTGGAGGCACGCATACAAATTAAGCAGATATTTCAATGAGACCGTCTCATCAAAATACTAAAATACTGCTCTTCTGGAAAACAGACTTTAATTTAAATGTAAATTTACAAATAGTTGCGCCAGTCTTGTGCATTTATGTACATGCTATATAATTAAAAATAAAAAGCCATTCTTAATATACTATTAAATTTGTATATAGACGTTTATTAATAAGTGTATATATACCGATTTTTGATTTCACTGTAGTGTTGTAAAATGAATTATTTTCATATGTTAGCGTCTAGCTCAACTATGCGCTAAAAGGCGGGAATTAGATTTTTGTGTATATTACAGCGAACCAAAGGCTTTAATTATTAAGTGTATTAACCTTTTAATGTGACTTCATAATGCGTCCACGCACTGTAAAAAATTCAACTGAAAAAAAGAAGAAATCAGAATCGCATTTAGATAATGTTGAGGATTCATATGAGAAAACAGCATTTCAAACACCGGATCGTGAAGACGAAACCGACTACGGCTTGGAGTTTACCACCAGCCGTTTGGCTGAATTGAACACATCTCCACGTCGGTGCTCTACGCTACGCAAAAACAATCCAAAAGACCGCCGTCGTGATATAGAACCATCCGAAGACAACAGTGATTCAGAGAATCAGCCACTGGCAGTACGACAAACACCCCGAAAAGTGCCGCTGCAAACACCCGCAGCGAGTATGAATAAGAAACATCAGGGGCCACTAACGTCAAGACCTGCTTCGAGACGCAAACAAAATAAACCGGAGCAACGTATAAAAAAATTGAACCGAGAAATTGAATGTTTACAAAAGAATGCAGGCTTCATGATACCGCGTTTACCTTTCTCGCGTTTGGTGCGCGAAATTATGATGAAACATACTTTAACGCCCTTTATGATAACTATGAGCGCCCTGGAGGCTATACAGACCGCGACAGAAATGTACTTAACCCAGCGCTTCCAGGATGCCTATTTACTTACTCAGTATCGCAGCCGTGTCACGCTAGAGGTGCGCGACATGGCGTTGGTGGCATATTTCTGCAAAACCTATGGTAATCTTTGACGTTGTAATTAAACATATGTGCACAAATTATAATCATAGATAAGAAGTAAATAAAACATACGGATCTATAAAAATCACTACTATTGAGTTGAGGTTTTAATTCGACGTGTTGCTCAGGCTCTAAACAGGTTTTTACCCGATTTGGATTCCCACTTCAGTTTTAATATGAATCGAACATAAGGCTCTTTACCGCTGAACCGAAATATACGTTTTAGAGATGGTTTGCTCAAAAGTAAAAAACAAAACTCACGAGCAGGCTAGAAATTTAGCCAACTTCAAATCTCACGGCAGGATGTCACCGACCAATTTTATTGGGGTTTTGCAGCTCCGGTTCTCAGATTTAATAAATTTAATAAAATCCAGTTTTAAAAAACAGTTCAAACAGTATTTCTCTAATTCCATTTGAATATACATATATCGATAAAAACCCATTTTTAGTCGTTATATTTTGGCATTTTACGCATTGTTTATCTGTTCAAACATAAGATAATAGTCAACTCTATTATTTTAAATTGGTGCAAATTTAGGTGTACACTTTAGGTCAAAACCAATCGCTAAATAATAAACAATTTTGCTTTTTGAAATGAGTTACCATTTAGAATGTGTATAGGCAATTTACATTCTTTACATAAGTTACATACTTCAGAGTTGACATCCTTACATACATACACATACATACAATGTAATTATACCTAATTACTCAGTGAGTAAGAAATTAAGCGCTAATATTTCTATATAACATTTTATAGTACGCAAATAACATAAATAGATTATTCAGAATCAGGCGCACGCTCAATAAAATCCAGATCATTAAATAAAGGAAATCCTAACAATGAATTTTCATTGACTTGGAGTTAGCCTTAAATTGAGCTTTGAGTACGCCAAAAATGTGATTTTTGGCATTTGATTTATATTTTTATTTCTTTTTGCACTATGAAACATCTAGCACAGCATAAAAACTGTATATATTACAATTTACAGAATTATATAAAATATATTTATACTTGTAATATATGCATATAATTGATATAGGTCTGCCTCCAGCTTTTTTTTGTTACAACATTTATAAATTAATTATGCTATTATTTGTTATATTTTAACATTTCGACGGTAAATTTAGTTGGGTTGAGTTTAAAATTTGTTTAGCTTGCGCTAATACCGTAAATATTTGAAAAATATGTGAATTTGAATGAAACCGGAGCGAACATTAATTTAGTGCGCTTTGCTTTTTGACTTTCTATGTGATGTGCCACCATTTTTATCAGCTCCAACGTTGCTCTGGCTCCCCACCGAAGAGGTGTTTAACACCTTAGGGCCATGCGGTATTCTGAATAGATCGATGCGCAGATGTTGGCAAATTTCTAGACAAACCTGCGCACAATAGCGCAGAAGATCCTGTGTGCCCCAGGCTAGCGTAAACCAAAGCAGCCAAATCTCTGGGACAATACAGTTAAAGTACTGATTCAGGAACAATAAAGCAGGACCCAGCAGCGACCAGTCCAGATACTCCATCTCCGCTTTGGTCATGTGCGCTATCTATATCGCAAAAGGAACACATTAATAGGTTTAATTTAAATGGGTTTGGTTAAAAGCATATGTAATCAACCTTATATTTTGATGCTAATTCGCTAATTAGGTATTGAACAAAAGTTAATTAAACGAAATAGCATATATATTTATAAAGTAGTATCTCTTACAGTCTCCAAGATTTTAAAGAGACGCACAGAAAATTGAAACGGCTAGCCTGTTCATCTAGAATGTATGTATAGCCTTTTATCATTACACAATAAATATCTATGCGTTCGGCACGGAACATAAAGATTACGCATTTGCAGATCTGCCAGAATTGTTAAGCTCGCAATTGCATGTTTGCTCAATATATCTCGATAAAGATTTTAAAAAACGCTGCTCATATATGAGAAACAAACACAACAAGAAACAAAGCTTGAAGTCCCGAGCTTGGTCGAAATTTTTCGAAAACCAAAACAACTCCTCATTCCTATGGCAGCTTATGATAAGTGGTTCGATTCGACCGATTCCGACATATGAAATGCCTGCAACTGCAGTTGCAAAACGATAAGGAATAACTTCAAAATTGACAAACAATATATAGTATTCACAGACAGACATAAATGGCTACTATAATGGCTTCTTATGAATATATATACACTACGGAGTTGAAATGTCTTCATCTATGAATTACACATATCATAACATAAAATAAAATATAAAAAGTTATTCTTCTTAGATTAAGATTAATTTACCACCAGCTTGTTGGTAATTTTGGCCGCCACCATGCCAAAAGCCAGAATAAAAACTGAAGCGTGCTCCGTAAAAATATTTTCCGGCGACTTTTGCGCTATCATCAGCGCGGGCAGCACTACAAGTGTCAGTGGTATACTAGGCGATAGTACACTGGTTCCCTTTGTATAGATGATAAATATAAAAAATATATTGTTTTATACAAATTTGATGAATTCTTAACGATTGTGAGATTGCAAATTGTGACCGCTTTGTACGAGCTACGGCTATGTGCATGGGCTAGCGTTCCAGGGGGCACATTTTGCAAATTCACAGTAGTAGGTTGACCAAAAGCAACATTTATTTTGGGCTTTTTGTTTGTTTGTTGAATTTACGTTATTTAATGGTAATTTTTTTAATAACAATGTCTAGCGCTAATTTGTGGGTGTGAATGTTTGTTAGTAAATGTGAGCGGGTCTTTTGCTGTAGAAGCCAAGCCAACAATAAAGAAATAGTATTCATATAAAGTTAAATGCCAAAAAATAAAGAAAGCAATATTTAAGTCTTGAAACCCCAAATGGCAAACAGTAAAAATCACATAAGCATATTAAACGTACATCATTAGGTATAAAAAACAATACAACAAGAAACTTAAAAAAAAGCAACATTTAGCTTCGGGTTGCCGAAGTTTTTATACCCTTGTAGTCGTATGCGCAAATAGTTAATCTCTGGCAAATAAATGATTACAGCGCTCTGTAATATAAAAAAAAAAAGATTTTGAAAATTAACGTAGTACCTAACTAACCAGTCAAACCGCAAGCCCCAAAATGCAAAATATATTTTTTTTTTGGAATTCTCATGTAAATGTTTGGTTACGATATTTTTTGTCATTTAACCAACCTACACCAATTATAACAAATCAACGTCAACGCAGATAACCATACATAGTTATTGACAGACAGACAATTCCTAACCGATTTAATAAGTGGGGCTTAATAAGTGTCTGACAATTCCACCACCAACAATGCATAAAACATTTTGCGTCTTATTAAACCCTGTACAAGAGTATAAATTACTTGACCATTTATATAAATCGAGAAATAATGACAAATACAATCGTTATTTTAGCTACTTGTCTAGCGACCAAGCTAATTAGAATGCCTTCGTGTGGTTGTGCCATACAAAAATACAAAATCTTACTGCAACAGATGATCCATTCTTCCCACAGCCCTCGTTTAAAATGGATTTTGAGTAACGTAATGCTAAACTGAAGTCAACTCCACTGGCCATATAAAACGGCAAGCAGCGTGTTTCACACTCAAGATAAGGCATCTGATAAAATTTAAAAATTTTTTAATTGTTGTCAACATATTCAAAAATTTTAAAGAAGAAAAAAATGCATTAATAGGAATATTAAAACATTTAATTTGATATAGATTTCGATAGAAACTAATGAAATAAATATTAATGGAAAAAAGCCACAAATAATATAAGTTTTAAAAGCAGTCTAGTATTGCTGATTAAAATTAAAGCTACCAATAAACCTTAGAATAATAGAAAGAAAGCATAACTAGAAAATATTTCAATATAATTTCAGTGTGGCCAATATGAAAAAAATGTTATTTTTAAATACTTTTTATAAACAATAAACACATATTCCATCGGAAGAATAAAACAAGTTAAATTATTCAAAAGCTCATGCTGCCAGAGTAATATAATTACAAACATCTTACAGCAATAATCCCAATAAATTTGTCTTACTTTATGCAATAGAACAAAATAAAATTAGTAAACAATATTAACATTTGCAAATGGATTTTAAGCCAAGTGTCCGTGTGTCAATGTGTGGGAAATAAACTAATGAGTTAATCTAACAGATGCTTTTAATTTTAATGTTTAGTACGATTAGAGAATTCAATTTTGATTAAAAACGTTTGTCGCGTTTCGTATATGGATAGCAATGCTTACAGCAACTGATGAGCCGTTTTTGCCACTGCCGCCTTCAATAAACATTTTTTGAAAATTGATTATATTCAACGTATAACCGAAAGTGATAAATACTAATATTGTATAATTCCATGAAACTCCCACGATTGGCATCTATTGTATATGAGAAGAGATCACAGAACAAAACAAAAACAATAACAGTAAACAAAACAAAACAATTTGCATGGAAATTTAAAAAATCGTTAACCTTACTCGAAGATCTTTTGCGGCATAAGAAGTAATAGGGTAAGCTTAAAACAATGGAGGCTTGATTGTCGAGTTCATAACTCGAGTCTTTATATCTTTAAATTATATTCGAATGACAGCACCTCGATAGTTTTTCAGCTATAGTTTACAACAAAATAATACCGCAAGCATCACAATATAAAGTGCCAGCCAACCTAACTTAATGCTACGTATTCTTTGAGATACATTAAATTAAGTAAAGCTAAATCCCTTAGCCAACAGTATATAGATACATACATATAGTTTTAAAATTATGATTCAGGACTTCTACAAATATACAATACAATTGTTGGTCATACAAGTGACAAAGAAAGATCAATTTTGCATATCGCATTCTATTGAATTTAGGCATTCAACAGTATTATTAGAGCATGCCAAGAGTCAGCAATATTAAAGTTTTGTTATGTGTTAAAGCACGAGGCGGAGAAGCAGAACAGCGGCTTTAAAACTAGGAAACATTAACAAAAGTACAATTTTTAAATATGTATATGTGTATAATAAGTATAAATGTAGAAAGTTAAGGCAAGCAATTGGGGTAATAAGGAAAAAGAAGGACCCACACCACGTTCCCACGAAATAGCCGCATTGCAATATCAATATTCAATTTAGATTTTTCGAATTGAGAGCCAAAATAATTTTTGTTTTATGTGTCTTCCTGTTTCTGTTTGTGGTTGAAATAAACATCAGACAACATACAACATTTCAGGGGTTTTACACGTGAATTATTTAAAAATAATTGGAGCTTCCTGATATCGTTTACCAAATAAGTGGTAATAAAATTTTATAGCATTACTATATACATACATATGTAATCAAAATCACCGATTTATTTTGCAACAATTTTGCTTAAGGAAACATAATTTAATTAAAACATCTGCCGATCTTCAGAGCTCGAAGACTTGTCAAGTAAAACGGCTCTCTCACTTTTAGTACAAAACAAATAAAATATAAAATGCTCAAAATCAGTAGCTCATAATATTTGTACATTGAGTAAAAGAAAACCCCAAAATATTTGTTAGCTGTCATTTATCAGATTTGGTTTTATATGCACATTTTTGCACATATTTCCTTCTTTTTTTTTTTTTATTTGTGTGTATTTGTGTGCATCAGACTTACAGCAACTGTGGAGCCATTTTTGCCAACACCACCGGCCACAACGACGGAAAATACATAGGTTAAGGAGATTACACCACACACAATGGTCGTTATAGCAGGACCATACCAAAGCTCAATATTGCCAATGCCAATCTGTGTTTGTATATTGGATACGATTGTGTGTATGTGTTAAATATTTGTTGGATTTTAGTAGATTAGGGCATTTTGTGTTGTTTTGTTTTGTGGCAGTGGCACACATTTGAATGCAACATAAAAGTAAAAGGTATTGAGACAATTACAATATGGTTTGGAATTATTATCTTTAAGCTATTTTTGTGAAAAAGAGCTTTTCTTTAAACTTTAGCTAATACAAAGTTAATATTAATGCATGTATTGCAGTCTCATTTATTTTCGTTAAATTTTGTGTATTGAATTTGTCTTTGGAATATGTACTACCTTTTTTTTTTGTTTGCAACCCAATGATAAATAACTTAATAAATCGAACCAAAGAGCTTACAACGCAAAACAACAAATAAGCATTCTATCTTAACGTCTCAAATATATTAGGTACTTATATAATAAGCATTTAGTAAACTTAATGCATTGTGAACTTAAGCCAAGCTATTGATGCTATTTGCATTTATCTTATTAAAACATAAGTAAATGACGAAATAATCATAATTGAAAAATTACACTTGCAATAATTTAAAAGGCGTTTCTATAGTCTAAAATAGGCGATTTAAATTTAAAATATAACTTCTGAAAATCTCAATTTAAAACGAAATCAATATTATTAGGGGATTATTTATACAAAGATGGAAGATATGAGCAACATGGCAATCCACCCAGATGGCTTACCTTCGTCAGCCAAATCTCGGGCCCCAGCACGGCTGAGACCAAATGTATAGCAATAATGGAGAATTGAGCCTCAGTTACATCGATGCGGCCGAAGCGCATCGTTCCAGACACATATGTCTGCCAGTGTGCGCAATAAAACAACGCAATGGCGCAAAAGCACTGAAAATTAAACATATCGAATTAAAAAAACCATTAAATAATTCAAGTTAATCGACTTACCTGAAAGAATAGCCAGTTTGGATAGTGACCAAGTTGACAGGATATGCACGCCGATAGCGCCACAAATATAGTTGATATGGAATCACAGCCATGATCGAAAAGTTCGCCAAGCGGCGATGACGTGTTGGTACGTCGCGCCTGCTTGCCATCAATCGAGTCTAGACTTTGATAGACGAACAGACCCAGAGCACAGAGAAAGCAAGTCCAACGTGGCGGTGGCTCGACCCCATTTGGACTATAGCTGTAAGAAAAAATATATTTGAAGGACATATGTACAGAGGTATAACCCTCAAAAATGATTTCAATACGATTTATTGAAGTAAGCTTAACTTGTTTTTTCTTAGCTATTTTTCAAGCGCATATTAAGCGCGATTCCTAGGAAATCTGAAGTGCACTGTCATAGATAACCTATTTTAAAACAAACCTAATTTTTAACATCTAAACAAGAAAAGAATAGCACGTTTGACATAGTCAAGCTAATATCATAAGAACCTCTTAAAAGAAACTGAAGCAATCAGATAGCTTTTATGGGCTATTTACAAGTAAAATGCAATTGGTCGCAGATCATTTAAAAGCAGTTGCGTCTGAAATAGGGTTGAAGGTGTTGCTAACCAAACAACACGAGGGCTGATCGACAGATTGTGTCAGCTAATTTTCTAATTAGGGCACCAACTTCTTAAAAATTGTGTTATGTGTTTAGGCGGCAAAATAAATAAGCTGATAGCCAATGCCAAACTAGAAGTTTTTTGAATAGTCAAATGGTATGCCAACATTGCTTAGTTCTCAAAAATTGTAAGTTATATTTAAATTGACATTTTAAAGCTGTTTATGTGATTTTCAATGCAATTTTTAAGTCTCATTTTGTTCGATTGTAAAGTAAAGACATCGAATAAGTTCCAGAATTTTGCAGAAAAAATCTTATAATGCACTGAATGAAATTCTTAGTCACAAACAAATTGTATAGATTCTTAAAAATAAAAAAAAATGAAGTTCAAAATTTAATTTTGGCAATATACTTTATAAAAATATAAGGGCCGCAAATATGAAGGTGGGATCATTAAAGAGAAGAGAAAATCTAGGTTTCGTGGTAGTTTATTTGCAAAACGGGAATCAATTAAAAATGCAAATTTTTATTTAATTCAATCAAAGCACTCATCAATTGCATAAGCAAGAATAATGAAAATATTGTACTTGAAAATAATTTACTCGGGGGTTAATTCAATTGAACTTTTGTGCACATGCGAAGCCAAAAAGTCAGGCAATATCTAAAGCAAGCAGACGGATAGCAATCAACAACAACTAGTCGATGATAAGTTCTCCACTATTTATTTAGTTTGTAATGAACCACCTGATTTATTGAATTCAACGCAGTAAAAAACAAGATATTTTAAAAGTAAATGAGCTGCGACCTCGACGATCCGTTGCTATCTTATCACAGTCGAAATTTCGAATGGAACTAACCATGCAAGTAACGGCATGATAAGGGAAAAGCCAAGCATTAGGGGAAACGACTCATCTGTATATTTCAGATGATTGTAGTAAATGCCACACTACCAATTCGAATGCTTAGTGATCGATTATGTGCAGAACAAGAAAAATTGTCATTTGGAGTGTATCCACAGACATCTCATGAAAGACAAAAAATGGATTAAAATAATCCGGTCTTAAATCTTCACCTAAAGCCGTGAGAAATACTAAGTAGGATTATTGAAGCACTACTCTATAATACATTTTATCGGTAAAACTATTGAATGTATGAAATTCCGCCTTTCCACATGTTTGTAGAAATATTAACGATAACGAAAGCAACGAAACATATGTGGAAATATGAAAGAAATGAAAAGGTTATTTTACTTAGTTCATTGTAAGATTTGTACACACAAACATACTTATACAAACACACTTATGCACTTGTACATAATTGATAGAAAGCTGAATAAAAATAATAAGCACTTACCAAATTAATATCAGCGTGGTCACAATGTTGAGTATTAGACCGACGATTGTTATCAGATTAGGTGCCAGCCAAAGTGGCGTTTGGGAGACCAACCAATTCCACCAGGGCTGTAGCAAAGGATCCAGCAGGCTTGCGCTGAAGCACGAGTATTTGTGTTCGCTTAGCTTGCGCAGTTGCTGGGGGCTGAGAATGCGCTGTTCCTTATAGGCAAGTATCGGCATTTTGTATAAGCAGGTGGCAAAGGTGAAACCAACAATTTTGTTTGACTGTGTGACAAGGCGCGTAAATTATCGAAAGAGCATTTGCACACACACACACTCACACACACACCTGCTTGTTACTTGCAATTTTCACTCGCTACGTCTATGAAGCGATTGTGTGTATGTGTGTGTGTGCCGTGTGTCAAAATTTTTCTTGATAAGTCACATATAACACTCAATCTCAAAGGCTTGGCAATGGTCTTCTTTTACACAATACACCGGAATAACTCAGCTTTTTTAATCTAAAAGATTTTTGTTCGTACTTGTTCTTTTTGCTCTATATATATTTATATATATATAGTAAATTATTTTAACTGTCGTGCGCGTAAGAACTCGCCTGACATGCTTTCCGTCGTCGCTGCGAATGCAATGTGACCGTACATCTATACAGAAAATATACTATATTTTCCAGAAAAATACCAAATTAAATTTATTGGATTATTACAATATATGTGAATTTTTTGACATAAACTAAAAAAAAAAGTGATTACTTTAGAAAAAGGTGTTTTGTGTTGAAAATGCAAAATGTCTATAATGAAGCTATTGCTTTTGCTATGCTTTCATCTAACCATGATAATTTCAGTAACTTTCCATACATTGTGTTTTAGTTGGCAATACTAAATCTTCGGTTATTTTCGGATACAAAAATAACTATAAGGTTAGGCGTTAAGAGGTGTTTTTATACAGTTTTGTATCTTTCGTAATCTTTTAATTTCAAATCACAAAAATATATCACAAATAATAAATACTCATCTTTATACCCTTGTATATGGAATATGTAACGAATTAAAGAAGACCTCTCCGAACCAATAAGGTATTTATATTCCTGATCAGCATCAAGTGCCGAGTCGATCTAGCCATCCATGTCCGTCTGTTAGTTTCTACGTCAACTAGTCCCTGCTTTAAAGCTATCATCGGTCGTAAATTAAGTTCTTGTATAAACTTTTTTTCTCAAGATATTTCGATCAAATTCAAAGAAATGAAAATGCAAATTTGCTTTTAATTAAATAGATCAGTGCGCACACTAATTGTTTCCACAAATATATTTATATACTTATGAATTTGTAATAGATTTTTAAATCTAACTATCTGAATAATCCGATTCTAACCATTTCACATATCCCACGCCTAGTTATGTTTACTATTAGTGAAAATATATATCATATAATCCAGCGACCGATGGAATTGTGCATGCATAATTATAGCTATAAAATAAATTTTGACAAATTTTTATGAGGCATCTTCGTTTTTCGTTTAATTTTCGTGTATGTTAGGAAATACATATAAAAATATTGTTTTTCGGTGTAATTACTGATATTGGCAACTTCGTATTTATTGTAATGCATAATTTACGTAATGTTAGAAGTGTGCAACTACTTGTCGGTGAATTATTATGACAACAAAAGGCGCTTATGCAAAACAAAAATTAACATATAATATGTTTTCATTAAAAACGCAATGTAAATCAATAGCAAATAAGTAATATTTTTTCGAAAGGTTGCAAAACTTTTTAAAATGCCAGCAACTGAATGTCAATCACACAAGGATCTTATATGAGAAAACAAATCTTTACATAATTTGATTATAGGCGCATCGTACAATTGAAACTCAGTAAAAATGTATGCTTAACATCGCATCGACTGTTAAATATATATATATATATATATTACATATATGTAAATATATTATACTTGACTGTTAATTAGGATAATAATTTTATTTGTCTTCACTTTGAGACATTTAGGCAAAAATTGTTGTCATAGTTTTATTTTTAAATATTTTTGTCGAATAAACGGTAGTTTTTGTAGAGTTGTTATTGGTATTTTTTTTTTTTTTTATATAATATAGTTAATTATCATAAAATTTTCTCTTTCTCACACACATACACGCACACAAAATAAATAGCACATTTAGAGTGGTGTACGTGGAAAGCTACATGTGATTGGACTTAAATAAAAATATATATATATATATATATATGTATATATATCAAAAATTGTTACATTAATAATATAGTGCGATGTATAATATATTCACCATACAAGAGGATTTAGTTGTCAGTTGAATTTTTCTCTTCTTGTAATATTGCATTAATTTAGAATATGGCTGCAAACTGCTTGTCAATGACGTAAAAAAATGCATTCGGCTGTTATGCTTACAGTTTATACAATATGTTTCTATATGCAATGCTCATGTCGTATTATTGAACAGTACATATAATAATATGTATTAAAAATTGGTATTTCATAGTATAGTGTGTGAATTATGTTTTATGCTTATGTATGTGTGTGTTGGGGTGAACAACATTATGAATGATATGGCGTCACATAGGTTGCTGGAAAAATGCCTTTCCTATTGCCGATCTCGCCATTCCACCAATTCTCATCAGAACGATCTGTAACGGTGATGACATCTCCGCGTCTAAAGTCCAATTCACCAGATTCCTGTGGCACAAAGTCGTAAAGCGCCTGAACGAGCATCTGCAAGGGAATAGCATATTTTGAGATTTATATTTATATAAAAACATCTGTTGCATGGTCATCATTCAATACAATATACCTCTTCAGGTATCATATCACGTAATTTTACGTCCTGTGATCGCGATACGCTCGCTGTTCGATGATATTCGACCAATTCGTTGAGGGAATTGAACTTGACAACCCAGAGAAAAAATTTGCTTTGTGCGTCCCGTAGTACTTTAAAATGCTGGACCCCATCAGGACATCTGAAAAATCATACAAGGATATTTTAGTAATCATTGAGTAATCAATTAACGTTACATACTTGACGGATAAGGAGAAATCGCCGGGACTAGATTCGCTGATGCGTATCAAAAAGGCGCCCTCATGTTTATTTGACAGCAGCTTCTCCGCATCGGCACGTGTTATGCGTCCGTAGTACCAGCTTGAATATATTATTAGATTATTACAACGATATTTTAAAATGTGCAGATTAATTTTCATTGTTACTCACTCGTGATTTTTCATTTCTATATAATTACTGGGTATAAGCCCTTCTTTCCCATCCAACTCGGCGCGGTACCAATTTGAGTCGTCCTCCATATTTAATATCTGCAAATAAAACAACTTTATTTATAGTTTGCAATATAAAAACATAAGGAAAAGTTTTGAATTAAAGGGCGTAAAGCTTTTCAAAAATGGAATGATCACCGTCTCAACAGCGAACAGTGAGTCATATTCCGGAGGCAATGCTAATAAATGAGTAATAGTATTCGTTTACTAATGCATGTAGACTCCGTCGTGTTTCGTCTGTTTACCTTCTTCGAACTTTTCGAGCTTCGGTAGTTCATGCAAATATCTAAACCATGTCAACAAGACAAACTAATCTAAGGCATAACATAACATATCTAGAGACGGAAAACTGGCTAAATATAAAACGGCTTATATTTTTTGATGTGTGTAATTTACAGATACGCCGGATTCTTTATGGCAAAATGCTAAAAAGGTATAAACTCAAGTAGGATTCTTAGTTGTGTGTATATTTTTGCATATATAAAATTTGTATTTTGTATTTTTCACTATTTTGAGATTAAAAAAGTAAATACATTTCCATTCTGCGGTCAACAGTGTTGTTCTGATTAAATATGTTCAGTAAGCTAGCTGGCAGCAGCTATATTTTCATATGTTCAACTATTGGCGAATTCGCTTTTTCTCAAACAAGCGAGGGATAGATTGGTTTATTTTTAGGTATCTGTTTTATTTATTAAAACATCAGCCAAATTTGTTATAACAGAGAAAATCTTTTTTTTTTATTGTTTGAGGGTATAAATTTGAGTAGAAACTGGGGCATGGAAAAGAAAGTTTTGGATAATGTTTAATTTTCCAAATATTTGTCGCTTTCAAATATTGCATTATAATTAATGCCAGATCGGTCGTGTTTGATCCATGATCATAGATCATTTTGTGTCATGAACGTTTCCACGCATCATTTTAATTGTTTATTAAAAAATGGGGAAGTGATCTTGGTATCATTGAAGCTTCAATCGAGTTGCCAGCATTTTTAAATTACTGATAAGGTGCTCGCTTAGTTGTTTAATCTGGATTGAGTGGAACTGATAAGCCCTTGATAACCAGAAACGGCAGCTGTTTGATAAAGCGTAGTCCAAGTCATTGACATCATCAATCAACATGAACAGCCCAAAAGCGAACCTACAAGACTAAAATAAAACACTGGCACGCTAAGTGACTAACCTACGACAAGAGCGGATAGACAGTAAACAATAACAACAAGAACGCGGCAGTCCCGCAGCGGCAGCTTACACCGCCTGAAAACTAAAAACCTGAAATTTCGCCTGCCAAAACAAAGAGAACCAATTGCTTACAGGGGCCCCAGGCATGCCAAGCGCACACCAAGACAATAGTGCAATAGGAAGAAAACCAGATTCTTCATCATAATTCGGGGTTTGGGGCTCTGTCTCCAGCTGAGACGAATATAAGAGTATATACACAAAAAAAAGAAGCATTTTTGCAGATTGTAACGCCAATTGTAACGCATATTTTTGTTTTTTGTTGTTTTTTTTTTTCACCCTTCAAAGTTTTATATATCACAAATCGCAATACAAAGATTATGATAATGCTGCAGTCTACTGCAAATAAGAACCGACTGGGGATCTAACAATTCTAGTTTACAAATGTGGAAAATCAAATATGTATTATTTATTCTAATTTACATTCAGTTTGTGTTTATTGTTCCCATAGTCTTTCGCTTTCTTTCAATAGCGGACAATGAGCGGGGCAGTTCCGAAAAATAGCTAAGTAAACCCATATTGTTGCAAGTGTTCATTGCTGGTACACATACAGATGCATTAGCTCTGGCGAGATGCGCTTTCGATCCACTTGCAAACACTCTGGAGTCCTTTGCAACTAATACATCAGACTCTGGAAAGGAATTTGGGTTAACATGGTAACCGAACGCAACTCAGGCAACAAATAATGCAAGCACGTATGAATCAATTTGTATGAAAAACGTATAAAAAGAACTCGACAGCAATAATTGCAGTATATGCTGACAGGCATCTATAAAACTGTAGACCTGTAAGCTGTTACAAAGATGTACGAAATGTAAATGTTGATCAGTTTTTGGTACTTTTTCTTACCTTTAGAATTTGAGTTTTACGGAAACTAAGTTCATCATCGGCAGTAGCAGAGAAATCATGTTTGGCAATTGCTTCCATTTTGTAGAGGGTGGTTTGTTTTTAAATTGTTGCTCTTCTAAGTACAATTTGTTTAACTTTTAACTTTAACTTTTAGTTGATTTACTTTTCTTAATCAGCCTTGTTGCTTACACATATATACATATATATATATACTCCCATGCATATATGCAATTGTTGTTGGGTGCTTACTCTCTTAGCTATTTTTATGAAAAATGCTATGGATTACTCGTTTATTTTCACATCTGCATTTAAAATCAACACAACGAAACTTATTATATAAACAATAACTCATATATTCGATTGCACGTCTCCAAATTAGTACAATATTTTCAAAGCCATAGACAGCGAGAAAAGTGATTAAAAATACACCGACGACGATGACGGAGCCGCAGCCAGGCCAGCAACAGAGCAACAAACACGAAGTGATAGCGGCACTCACGACGAAACAACTGAGAATGACGGGCATATATGTATGCGTGTGTGAGAAAGATAGAAAGAAAACGAGAGGAATTGAGCTTGCATAGCGTTGCCAGCAGCGTGTACTTTACGGAGTACCAATAACACCGCCTTGTTAAATATAAATGTTAAACCCACTAATGATTTATATATCAAACAATTTATTAAGAATCTTGTGACCATCAGTCGTCAGTGGCATTATATAAAAATAAAAGTCATTTTGTTGAAAAGCAGGGCGTGTAGTTTCTGCTGGCAATGCCGTTGTGCTCATCGCATAAGTTGTTGTTGTTTATTTTTTTAACCCCTCTAGACACACACACACTCGCACTCAATTGAAGCCACACACGCATGCAATATTCGGCGAATTTTTTGTTGCTATTTTCTCGTTGCAAATTATTTAAGTAATTTACTTATTTTATTACTGATGATACAGAACCGCTGTAACATATTTGTTGATAAAATAACTATTATTGGAATTATTACAAATGTACACCTTTTTAAACATTTAGTATTTAAGAATTCATTTAATGTTCATGAGAGTGGTCACACTGAATCGCGCAATGTGGCAATATCGTTACCCCAAGCGACCGCTCTAATAGAACTGTAATTGACATTAGAAACTGTAGTTTTTTTTTATTTTTGATACAGTTGATTTTTAAACATAACTTTGTAAAAAAATTATACGAAAATAAAATTGCAGTGATATTGTCTACAATAAATTGAAAATCGCAAAAACTTATTCAATATGCAATCGAGAGTGCTAAGTCCGCACAACAATATTGAAATTAACCGGGAGCGTCAAAGCGTCGTGCGAACCAAGTTAAGCGACGAACTTTTTCAAAGCAATCGCATAAAAGATATCGGTCCCTCTACATCAAAAACATTAAATAATCAAGATCTGCAACTGAACAACCTGCCGACGACTGCAGCACAAAACGAGCAAGAAAATGCACTCCCGGCGAATGAAAATTCTGTCAATAAGATTACAAAGCGACAAGGCCATTACTTACAACGCTTTCTCGGATGGAAGGAGTGGAAGGAGGCTGAAAAGCAGAAGAAAAGAAAGGAAGAAAAGGACGCGCAACTAGATTTAAATACTGAAGTAGAAGCGCAGAAAAAAAGACGCTCACTATATGTTTTGGATTCCAAAGCAGAAATGACGGCTCCAATATCTTTGCAATTGCTGCCCGCTAAGAAACCCTTGGATTTTGCACCTATGCCGACAGCGACAAAACCTCCTATTGCGTGTAAATCTGCGGTTACTTCAAAGTCTGTGCCAAGTGCTGTTAAGCTTCTAGCTACCGACCGGAATGCTAAAATAAAGCCTCAAACAGTTGTACCGAATGGTTCGACGAAGCCGCCACTAGGTGCATATGATAATCAAGCAGGGAATCTGAAGCAGACGGCGAAGTCTCTGCAAGCAGCCGCTGAACCCATAAAAAAAAAGGCACAAAAAGGGGTTGACCCTAAACAAAAGCCACCGACGAACCTTGGAGTTAAAAAAATGATGGTAGGGTCCGTTAAAAACCCATTAAGGTCGCCGAAATTATCAAACATAAACAGGGGAAGAGGTGGTGCAGCCCAATGCAAAACCACAGCTAAAAATTGTCTTTCCTCGCAGCTCTCGCAACGCATGAAGTCCAAAAAGCCCGCGTTCCTAAACTGCAAGCAAAAACAAGCAATACTTACCAAACCAAACTTGCTACAAGAAACTTGTAATTTGCAAACCCCCAATACGTCACTTCATGTTGTCAGCAATAAGCATTTATTCAAGGCAATGGCGACATCTACTGAGCGCAAGCCCAATAAAAGTAGCGATAATTTATTGGAGAACTACGGAGATATAACCAATATTAGTCCTGTGGCAGTTGACAATAGGTCCAATGGAATAGTGTCTGTTGCTAAACGACAATTGTTGGCGCCGTCGCCGACACTGAAGGAGTCGGCAGTAGAGGGTAAGTGTGCCTTATGTCGATTTCAAAAATATTAATAACTGCTAATCGTCACTTATTTTTATTAAAGACGATATGAGAAAGTTGACGAAGACTCCGGCACGCACTGATAAGCATCAAAAACGTCGCTCAATGTATGAGGTTGAATCTAAAGCAGAGATGCCGGTTTGTAACTCAACGAAAAACAAAAAACTTCCAGATATTCCCAAGGTAACAACGGGTCCAATATCCATACAAATGCCGGCTGTAAAAAAAACTTTGGGTAATGCTGCTACTAGTTCAGTTAAGTCCAAAGCTAAGCACATACCTTTTCAAGTGGCCACAACGAAAAAACCTTCGTCTCCGGTTGCGTCCACAGCTGGAGTTAAATCAAAGCCTGCGGCAAAATCAGTTAAGCCTTTCGCTATTGGCAGAAATCTTCAAAATGTTGAAATGAAGCATCAATCGAGGTCACTGCAAGCATCTGCTGAACCTATGATAAAAAAGCCGCAAATAGAGGCCAAACCTAAACAAAAGCCACCAACAACCCTTGCAGTTAAACAAAATGTGATGGGGTCTGTTAAAAACGCAACAAGGCCGCAAAATTTGATGACACAGCCATTTGAATTACCTGCAACGAGCAGAAACAGAGGAGCAGGTGGTGCAGCCCAATGCAAAACCAAATCCAAAAACAGTCTTTCCTCACAGCTTTCGACACGCATGAAGTCCAAAAAGCCAGCGCTCCTGAACTGCAAGCAAAGACAAGCAATATTTACGAAGCTGAACCTGCTGCAAACAAACTGCGATTTGCAGAACCCCGATACGTCACTTTATATTGTCAGCAATAAACATTTATTAAAGGCAGCGGCGACATCTACTGAATGCAAGTCCAATAAAAATAGCGACAATTTGTTGGAGACCCACGGAAAGATAACCAACATAAGTCCTGTGGCAGTTAGCATTGAGTCCAAAGAAACAGTGTCTGTTGCTGAGAGACCGTTGACAGGGTCCCCGACACTAAAGGATTCGCAACAGACGTTGCCGGCAGTAGAGGGTAAGTGGCCTTTTTTTTAGATTTCATACATTTTAATAATGGCAATCATCTTACTTAAATCATTTCAGATGACATGACGATGTTGGCGGAGTCCCCGATACGTACACAAGCAAAACAATCAATTTATCTAAGTCCTTTTGTGACCGTGTCACGTGGAAAAGAGAGCACTCGAATGCAGCGTGACAACTCCAACAATACTCTCATACAGAGTCCAAGTGAGAAAAAACCAGAAACGCCCGTTGCTTTGCGTAGCACACTAAGCTCAGTACAATACTTTCGAATGCAACTGGATAATGAAATTAGACGCCTCCATTCGATTTGTGCTGAGTGGGACTCATATAACAACCAAAATGAAGCACGCCTTCTGGAGAATGGGGCAAAGGACATGATAGATGCGGCTATTGGACAGACTAAGCTGCTTACCAGCAAGAAACTAATGCAGTTTAAGAGTTTAATTGATCGCTGTGAAGCGGGTGCTACAGGCATTGGTTTGCCTCCCAATGATGGCAGTGAGGATTCTAAACCTGTGTTCGTTGAAGATTTAGAGGGTTGGTGGGATATGTTGCGTTTACAGAGCGAAAATGTGGACAAACGCTTCGATCGTTTGCTGCGCCTGAAAGCCAACGATTGGCAGGATCCAGATGCGGAGACAGTGCCAAAAACCAAATCAAAAGTGGGTCCTAAAACAAAACGGAAACAAACCGCTAAACCAAGTAGCGAATTAAAAAGCTTTTTGCGAAAGGCTTATGCAGCCAAACGAATAAATCAGGAATCTGACGAAATCTGCGAGCCAAACCTTACTCCGAAGCGTCAGTCTCAGCATCGTTTTATTGTGGTTCGCGACCGCAAATCCTTCTCGCCGGCACGAACCGTGCTTCGTGTATCACGTGACACCGATAATCGGCCATCTATTGGTGGCAATCATTTATTGAAGTCTGCTATAATGGGCGCAGTGGAGCAAGTATCTCGTCAACAGTTGACGCCACGTTCTGAGCAGCCCATGTCCATTTTAAAAACGCCTGGAACCAAAAAACGTGAGCCTGGTGCCCGCGGTGTTGTATTTAGTGCCAAGAAAAAAGTGCGTCGTTTTCAGTTCACCTTCGACGAAGTCAATATTAGTGGAGATGAGGTTGTCATTGGAAACAAGATGGAAGACTGTGAAGAGGACATGACCCCAGAAAGACCCTCGCTTCAAAACGGTCAGCTAGAGACTTCAGTAAATGCAGCAACTGGGGAAGGAGATGGAAATACATCAAGGGCATATTCACTTCGCAATCGTATTATTAGATTAAGACCATCATCGGAGTTTATGTAGATTTTAAAATGGTCGAACTATTCTTTAAATTTGTTTTTAAATACTTTTTTCTTATGTTTTGAAATTGTTTCTGCGCCCATCGTTAAGAATTCTAAAATGATAGTGTATTGTACTTTAGTGTTAATTATGTTTGAATAGTCTTATATGTATTTACCCATTTTATTAATAAAATATCAAAAAAAAGATCGTTAATATCCATCAGCTTTACTATGAAAGCTCACCCCAAATAATAAGAAACTTTGCTTTAACGTTCGCAGATTCGAAGGCGCGTTGAAGAATTGCAAACCGTAAAGAAAGATCCTCAGAGTAAAACGTTTACATATGTTTCAATATCAGCATAGATTTCTTTATGCTATCCTGCATGTTTCAATAGCGGTTATTGAAATTATTGCTTTATTGAATTTAAATTTATTTACATACACGATAGATTGGGTGTTATTTGCATAAAGCATTTAAAAACGATACCATAAGATAGAGTTGTTCTTATATTTGCTACTGCTATTGTAAATGCTATTTACATGCAATTGCATAAAGTTAATAATTTATTTGCACTTTACACTTTAAGGTCAACTTTTGGAAAGCTTATTTAAGAGACAATAAAAATGGAAAAAATAAACAGGTCAGATCGCTTTGAACTTAAAAAATAATATAGTATGTGCATCAAGACTGAAAATTGAGAAGCTTTAAAATGTAATATA